TTAGTATACCTACTCAGCTCAAGAGTGAATATCTACATAGCCATAACAATATAAACACTAAATATTAATTTAACCAAAAATTGTGCTATAAAGATATAAGAGCCAGGGTAGTTTGGGAGGTGAGACAAAATGAGAGATAAATTCTTATATGCTGTAACTGGAAGTCAACATTTAATATGTAAATTTGATAAATCAAGATATACCAAAATAATGTACTATTTAGAAATATGGAACACCAGAAGAAATAGCTAAAATAATTGCTATTGTTTCTAGGGAGCAAGACTCAAGAGTAAGAGGGGTAGGGCATTTTTCCTTACTAACCTTTTAGTACTATTTAACTTTTAAAACTATGTACTTATATTTCTTTGATAGTATTTTATTTAAAGACCGCTTCCTAGGTCTCGGTGCTCTGGCTGATAGCTCCCATAATATTCACATTTTGACTCAAGCCTCAAGAATAAATATTTAAATCTCAAATCGGGGCAGGCTAGGGTTATCCTATCATCTCAATGGAATGGAATGTCACTACCAATAACAGGGAAAAGGACAAGAAGGTATAAAAAAATAGAACAGCCCAGTGCTATATATATATATGTGGTACTATTATTATTACAATGGGCATCCAGCCTGTATTTGAGGACCTACTGGATTGGATCTTAGGTCCAATACAAATTTTGCAGGGGGAAAGAATTCATCTGGATATATATGGAGGGCAGAAATATGCCCAACAGAAGCTGGAAGGGCTAGAAATTTGGGTAAATATTGCAAAGAGGTATTCATTCACCATTTGATGAGCACCCACTATGTGTATGAATCTGTGTTAAGTGCTAGGCTACAAAGTTAAATAATACACAGCTGCTGCTCCCCCCCCGCCCAGTCCAGTATGGGCAGCACCCACACACGACAGTACAATATGGTGTAACAAGTGCTACAACAGGAGATATGCAATGGGAGATGCAGGAATACAGAGGCGGGGAATCCCTAATCAGACTGAGGAGTCAGATAAAGTTTTCTACAGGATCTGGTACTTGAAATGAATCTTAGAGCATAAGTAGAAGCCAGGTGAAGAAGACTGAGGGCATTCTAGAGAGAGGACAGACTCAGGCAGGAGACAGCCTGGCAGGGTAACTCGAGTTCAATATGAATGGAAAGAGGAAAGCAGGTGAGGATGTGGCAGAAGATGAGGCTAGGGTCCTTATCATGAAGATCCATAAGCGCAAAGGTAAGGAATTTAAACATTATTCTAAAGCTATTGGGCAACTACTGCATATTTTTTTAAGCAAGAGAATGGTATAATCTTATTTGCATCTTTTTATTGGGGTGACATTGGTTTATAATATTATATAAATTTCACATGCACATCATTATATTTCAATTTCTGTGTAGACTACATCATGTTCACCACCCAAAAACTAATTACCATCCATCACCATACACATGTATGGTGTTTGCATTGCATACACATGTATGGTTATTTGCATTTTAAGGACAGCTTTGGCTGCAATGTGGAGAATACACTGAGGCAGGGGGCTGGAACCAATGAGACCAGTTTAGAGGCTGTTGCAATAGTCTAGGTGAGAGAAGATGGTAGCTTGGAATAGAGTGGTGGTGGTAATGATGGTGGTGGAAATAGAGAAGAGGGTGGAGTCAAGGTAGTTTTACAAAGGAAAATTGACTGGACTTGGAGACTGATTAGATATAGCTGAGGAGGAAGGGAGGATAAAGACAGAGGAGTCTAGATGCTTCTGATACATGGTGCTACTATTTACTAGGGTGAGAAAAAAGAAGCACACTTGGAAAGGGAAGAGGATTAGTTAAGTTTAGGGCAGTGGTTCTCAACTGGAGGCGAGTGTGCCCCCCAAGAGACATCTGGAGACATTTTTGGTTGTCATAAATAACAGCACCTAGTGGGTAGAGGCCAGGGATGCTGCTAAACATCTTATAATGCACCTAACAGCCCTACACAACAAAAAATTATCCAATTCAAAATGTCAATAGTGCAGAGGTTGAGAAACCTTGATCTAGGGCAATGCTGATTTGAAGAGCTCTGCAGGACAGCTAAGTGAGGATGTTCAGTAGCCTTTTGGAAACGTACCTCCTGAAGTTCAAAAGGGAGCCGGAATGCAAATATAAGTTTAGGAGTTGTCAATTTATAGGTGGTCATTCCAGTCATCAGCTGCAGTTGGGTGCAATCTCCCATAAATATATTAAAAAAGAAGACCAGGGCCGGCCCCGTGGCTTAGTGGTTAAGTGCGCACGCTCCGCTGCTGGCGGCCCGGGTTCAGATCCTGGGCGCACACCGACGCACCACTTCTCCGGCCATGCTGAGGCCGCGTCCCACATACAGTAACTAGAGGGATGCACAGCTATGACATACAACTATCTACTGGGGCTTTGGGGGGAAAAATAAATAAATAAATAAAATTATTTAAAAAAAAAAAGACCAAAGGGCTGGCCCGGTGGCACAGCAGTTAAGTGTGCGCACTCCACTTTGGCAGCCCAAGGGTTCACAGGTTCGGATCCTGGGCATGCACCGATGCACCGCTCGTCAAGCCATGCTGCGGTGGCGTCCCATATAAAGTTGAGGAAGATGGGCACGAATCTTAGCCCAGGGCCGATCTTCCTCAGCAAAAAAGAGGAGGATTGGCATCGGATGTTAGCTCAGGGCTGATCTTCCTCACCACAAAAAAAAAAAAAAGAAGAAGAAGACCAAAGACAGAGTCCTGGGGGACACCAACAGTTATAGTGGGAAAGGAGAGGAGAAAAAGATCCCATGAGAAAGACTAAGAAGTGGCCAGCGAGATGGGAGGAAAACCATCAGAGAATGGTTTCACAGAAACCAAACAAAGACAGTGTCTCAAGGAGGAAAATAAGAATAATAAGTGGTGCCAAAGGCAGAGAAAAGTTGAGTAAGTTAAGGGCAGAAAGTTTCCATTGAATTTGGCAAAATGAAGGTCACTGATGACTTTGACAAGATCAATTTCTATGGAGTGTTGGGGGCAGAAGCAAGTACCATCAGAATTTTTTAAAAGACTGGAGATATTTAATATGTTTATGAACTGAAAGAGCTGACAGATGTGGGGGGAAGGAGGTAAAGAAACAGGACAAAGAGGGTATGTAATGAAGGAGCAAGCATCCTGGGGAGGGAGGAGATGAGTCCAAGACAGTATTTCAAGGAAGGATAGCCTGGCACAGGGGGAGGACCTACTACCACTTTCACTGAGATAGGAGGAAAGGAGGGGTAAGATTTCATCAAAATTGGTAGATGGTAGGAAAAGCAGCCAAGGGAGTTCTCATCTGATGGCCTTAATTTTCCAGTGAAGAACCAGGCACGGTCATCTGCCAAGAGCAGGGGTAAAGGCAGTGGGGTAGGAAATTTGAGAAGTAAGAGTTTAAAATAGTCACTGAAGAGAATGGGAGAAGAAGCTGAGAAGGGCCATGTAGGATTTCTGGAGAATGATCCTACAAAGGGAGCTATGTCCTAGCAGGGAAATCTTGCAGGTCAAGATGTGGCCTATCAGAATGTACCACCCAAGTGTCAGAAACCTGAATCATTAGGAGGGTGGGAGCTGGTAAGAACTAACAGGGAACAAGAGTGTCAGTTGGGAGTGCTGTTCAGTCCTCATGAGCAAGGCTTCTGCCTTTTTTTTATTTAAGTTTCATGAGGGCAGGCACCATGTCTGTTTGAGTCACCATTGGATCTCCAGCACCTAGCACAGTGCCCAACACACCGCAGGCACTCAATAAATAGTGGGTGCATGAAAAAGGATATAAAAATGTGTCAGAGGCCAACCTCATGATGTAGACCCTTACCACCACTCCTACATCTCTCATGATATTTCTCAATTCTGTTTTGCCAAAAACGCTAGCCTTCCAAATATTTCAGACACCTGCCACTTGCTATACTGCCCTCATGAGTACCTCTCTTTCCTAATATTTCCCTCCTATTAAATTCCTTGGATGCTTGACATTTGCAGTAATGGACTGAGTTCTCTCTCCTCTTTTCCACTCTCCCCGAAATGAAACAGTAGCAATGTTCTCTCCATGTCAAGAGGTACGGTTTCAGAACAGAGCCCCTCCCTCCCTGTAGCACTAGAAGCAGCTCTATGATTAAAATGTCAGGGATGCTGCTGTTACAGACTGCAATGTCCTGGGTCATCTTCAACCAGCCCTTGTTCCTTATTACCTGGGCCACTTGATTGTGTTTCTCAGGGATGTTTTTCAGAAGGTTAGATCGTACACAGATGATGTTCCTGTCTATGGAAAGAAAAAGAATTTCATTTATATGGTTTTCTTCCTAAAAGATTCTTTAGAAGAAAATGTCTGGCAACTCAAATTCCCTCCTTCAAAGAGGCATATGCAGATATGAAGAAGCAAAGTACCTAATTCAAGCTCAAGGCCATTTTTCAGAGGAAACCTGTTTCCTGGGCTAGCCATTAAGAAGCTTATTTGTAGTGGAGCTAGTACGCAATATTTTGCCTCATGCCACAAATGCACAATATGACAATGTCTGCTTTCTGTTCAGACTTTAAGAGGGAAATAAAATGTAATGGGTTTTGTTTTTCTGTTACTGAATAATAGAACACTGACGTCATATACTCATTTAATTCAGCACACAGGGGGAAAAAAAAAAAGCCAAGCACCTGCCCTAATGAACTGTAGTTTAGGGCATATGGATATTAAACAGTGTGACTAATATAAAATGACGGTGTTTCACATAGATTTATTGAAAATGGGCAAACAGAAAGTTCAGGAATGGAATCCGGGAATGGATACTGGAATTAAGTCTCAGAAATATGCCATTGTGATTTCCTTCAAAAGCACTCACCACTACCCCCCACCAATTCCTTTAAAGCAGATTTACCACAGAAAGCTCTAGTTTTCTGGGATATGGGGATGTGAAATAGAAAAGGCGACTCTCTAACAAGGAGGAGACTGCTCCCAGTACGGAGAGTAGTGTCAGGGAAGAGGGAGAATCCCCCTCCGCCCTTTCCCTTAAGGTTCTTCTGGCTGGCCAAATAATTAACAAGACAGGTTAGCAGGAGAAAATAATACCAAGTTTAATAACATGTATACATGGGAGAAACCAGAGAAACTGAGTTTCTCAACACAATGGCAGAGATTCTCATCTTAAATACCATCTTCAGCTTAAGACAAAGGAGGATGTTGGGGGTGGGTGGTGTTTTGGGATTTCAGAGGGGAAGAAGACAATTTACATGAAGAGGGAAATGTAAATGTTTGTCAGATTAATGCTTTGCAGGGCCCCCTATAGAGAATGTGGCTGGAGAGACAGGAATTATAGTAATCAAGAGTATGTACATTTAAGTCTTCTTCTTCCGTCCTCATAAGAGTTTTCACAGATAAGGTCATCCCCCCCTCTTCCCACTACACAGAGGGAGATACCCTTACAAATGTAAATGTTTGGTAAACAGAACTTTGTTAAGAATGGGCATAGCGAGGACCCTGCCAGTCTGTCTACACCCAGAGTTAAATTCCCTTAGGCAGTTTGGGGGAGGTCAAACGTCCGTCAGAGAAAATAATCAAGGTAAAGAGATATATTTCAGGGTGGCCAATTTTGATCTCCCACAGTAGTATAAAATGATGATGATGACAAGGATGATGACGACAGAGCAGCAGCAACAATATTAACATTTACTAAGTGCTCACTAGGCCTCAGGCACATGGCTTTTGGAGGAAGAAAGGGAGAGGGTTGTGACTCCTAGCACTATGTTACAATGATTACCCACTGAAAAGTATCCACAATTAACCTTGTGATCATGTTCTGCATCAAAGACTTCCATTCAACCTTCTCCTTTAAAGCTATTTCCCACTCTTCTCTACTCCCACTGACACTGTTCTCTGCGCTCTTCCCTTTCCTCTCAGTCCTTGGTTTATTTCTACTAGTCATGGCCTTCAACTGACCTCTCCAACTTCCCAGGTAGTACCCCACGGTCTTTGGATTGCCATCTGGACCTCGGTTCACAGAGAAGGTGGACTTATTTCGATAGCCATCGATGACAGGCTGGAGAAGGCAGAATGACAGGAGAGGGACAATACGTCAAATGAAACCAAGGAGGACAATAATACAGGGAATGAAAGAATGTTCTCTGAATGAGAACAAATAAATGCTTGTTGGAAAGATATGGCATAGGTGAAAGTCCATGGCTGAGAAGATCAAGATACTCCATAGATACCCCATAGTAGAAAGAGTTCCAATCTTGCCATAAAGCAGGAGTCAGCAAACTTTTTCAGTAAAGGTTCAGAGAGTAAATTATTTTAGGCTTTGCAGGCCATATGGTCCCTGGCACAACTACTCAATTCTGCCAATGTAGTGCGAAAGCAGCCATAGACAATCCATAAACAAGTGAGCTCGGCTGTGTTCCTATAAAGCTTTATTTACAAAATCAAGCAGTGGGACAGATACAGCCTAAGAGCCATTGTTTGCCAACCTCTGCCATAAATTAAATTCTGCTTCTCTGAGGCCTCATTAGAAGGTTTCCAAGGTTGAAATCTTTCTAAGGAGGTATTAGTGTAGTGGTTGAGAAAGTGGGCTTTGTATCAGATAGACCTAAGTATGAATCTCAGTTCTGGCACTTTCTAGATGTATGTCCTTATGCAAATCACTTAATCTCTCTGAGCTTCAATGTATTCATCTGTAAAATGACAGTGCCTACCCCTCAGGGTGATTGTAAACAATAAACGAGACAATGATGCATGCTAATCACTTAGCATAGGGCCTGGTCCCCAGCAAGTGCCCAGTAAGTACTGGTTGATATTATTAGCTATTAAGCAGACTTGGTAGATAAAGGATAGGGAGGTGAGGGCTTACAGAGGGTATAATAGGATGGAGAAGACAACAGAGCCCCTCGGATTTGGGTGCAGCTGTTGTCACATTGACTCTGTTGAGCATTTGGAGGTAAGACTCTAGTCTTTGTAAAATTTTCTTCTGAGCTTCAAATTTAACCTGCAAAAGAATACAAGCAATGAAATAAAAGATTTTTGCAGCATCACCTCAAAGAATGGAAAACAAACAGGATAAGAGAAGGTTGTCCCACAGGTTCTTGGGTCATGGTCTCAGCAGATAAGGAATCCAGAATGATGGAACAGCAACAGACCTAATAAGGTATTGGGAAAAGGTCAAGAGTGAGCTCTTGTGTAAGCTCATCATTTTATCTGACCTTTCAGACTGAACACTCAAGCTATATGTCAGCACTGTCCAGTAGAACTTGCTCTGATAATGGAACTGTTCTATGTTGGTGTTATGTTCTATGTAATATGGCAGCCACTAGCCACATGTGGCTACTGAGCCTGACATGTGGCTCATGTGACTGAGGAACTGAATTTTTAATCTCAGTAAATTTTCATTAACTTACACAGCTCTGCTATAATGTGACATAAGCGTTCCTACACCATGCTATGCCAAATCACTCAAAAAAAATCAGAGCTCATGGGAAAATGGGATTGGGCACACACATCACAAAACTTGATTAGTAACACACACAGAAAAGATAGGAACCTAATTAAAAAGCAGTACAGTTTTACACAGGTTAAATGGTTATGAAATGTATAAATACTACAATAAGGATGGTACTTTACCCTGACAAAGACCTGAAGTTTGCTTGTGGAAATGGCTGTCTACTTGTGAGTTATCATGAAGTGGTGAATGGAGGGTTATGGGAGTGGAACAGAAAGTTCTCACGGCAGATATGAATGGATGTGGCTCATAACACACTCAGCGAACTAAGGGAGCAGGTAGATGTCTGAGGTGTGTGTGTGTTCATTCAATGTATTCTTATGCAGCTCAGTTCAGCTGGGTGCAGTTTTATTCTTTCATCTAGTGTTTCCCACGGACGAAATCACTCCTAAGCAAACATGAAATTTGCATTATGTTTAAATTGCCCCCTAATATATCAATCCGTTCAAACAAATTTCCGTTTTCAAAACAAGCATTATAGCAGAATTGACTGTATTTAAATTTAAATAGCCACATATAGCTAGTGGCTACCGTGTCAGAAGGGCAGCTATATACGAAGCAGCAAGATCACTTGCTACTCACACACAAAGAGCTATAAGAATAGCAAAAAAGCAAGGAAGAAAGGAAACAGGCATTTGAATATATGGCTCTAGAGTTTGGAAGACATAACTAGCCTAAAGTTAAAATTTCAGAGTCATTAGCATATTAGCGAGTTTAATGGACCCGTTGGTGTCTGGGTAGAGCTGTCCAGTCAAGCCTCCCCCAAGTCTAGCACCATTCACCTGATGGAACTGAGGAGTAAAGACTTAAGCTGGGTCCCTACCTTGAGCTGTTCTTCATAGCGCAGCCTCCAGAGTGGCGTCACAACATCGGCCAGCCTTGAATAAATAATTCAGGCACTTCATTTATTAGATACATACGTACCGAGTACCTACTATGCATAAGTACTTCCTGCCACCATTTTCTCTGGCACTTTACTTATCACTCAGAAGATCTAGCTCTCATGTTACTGGAGAAATAGAGTCTGGGAGAAGAGCACATTTTGGTGCTGTCTACTTAACAAAGCAGAACAGATGGGCAAACCTAATATAAGAAAAATCCCAACTTATCAGGAGGTAATTAATCATATTACAAAAGGCTTCACTGCTGGGTTCCTTTAAATAACTCACCTCCCTAATGCTTTTAAAAGATAATTTGATTTAGAAAACACATTTGTTGCATAAAATGAGATATATTTGTGTTTGCATAGCCGCAATGAGACTATTCATTTCTAATCCATCTTATCTCTCTCTGGGTCCCTGGTTTTCGGCATACCTGCCCTAGACCCTTTTGGAGACAAGGTCCCAGTTTAATATCTCCTTTCTGCCAAAAACACACATAAAGGCAAGGAGAACATTTTCTGCGATCCCAAAGCATTTCCACCAACATTCCTCAGATGTGTTCAAGTTTGCCCTGGGTATCCTGCCTCAGGTGCCCTCTCAGATCTTTGCAATGACACATTAGTTACATCAGAAATACAGAATTTCAGCAGGTCCTAGATTTAGACTTGCTAAGGGGAAAGTACATCAGCCTGGGCCTTACCTTTCATGCCAGGAACCATCCAGTGGTCCAAGATAGCTTAGTTTCTTCTGACTTTTCTGTCCTCTCTGACACTTCTTGGCTATCACGCGGGTGAAGTTTCCCTTACATGCTGAGCCGAAAAAGAGCTGTGACCAACCTGGAGGTTTTCTGGCACACCAGGGGAGCAGTCCTGGTTTGGATAAAAGACCCACCCTGGAGAGGAAGCATCTCAGGCTGTGCATTGGGACTCTTCTCTTAACACCTGCCAACCACAGAAACACTGAGATTCACCTGTACGAAAGGTAGAAATATAGAAGTTGGGAAAGAGAGGCACAATTCCCAAACTCTTCATTTATTTGCAAACCCTCATGGAAGCCCAGCACCTAGCACCATGCCTGGCACAGAGTAACACTCTGTGAAAGCAGGCCTGCTGAGAAGTGAATTACTTCATGCTAGGCACTGGCTTAGGCTCCCAAAATAAAAAGATGAGGAAAATACAGTCTTTGTCCTCCGTAAAAGAGTTTAACTCTCTAGATACACTCCTATGGCTAGTCCCTCTCCATATTCTACCCTCCCACCCAACAACCAATCAATCAACTAATATTCAGTAAGTGCTTACTATGTGCAAAGCACTGCACCACACTAGATACAGGAGGGGTTACAAAGGTTACAATTTAATTGAGGAGATCAAGTGTGGACACAGGAAAAGAGAATAAATAACATGATATGCTTGGTTCCTAATGAGTGCTCAGGAAAGGCTTCCCACAGCAGGCAGGCCGCACATTGGGTCTTTTTTTGTGTGTGTGTGAGGAAGATCAGCCCTGAGCTAACATCCATGCCAATCCTCCTCCTTTTTGCTGAGGAAGACCGGCCCTGAGCTAACATCTATTGCCATTCTTCCTCCTTTTTTTTTTCCTTTTTCCCCCCAAAGCCCCAGTAGATAGTTGTATGTCACAGTTGCTCATCCTTCTAGCTGCTGTATGTGGGATGCCGCCTCAACATGGCCAGACAAGCGGTGCGTCAGTGCGCACCAGGGATCCGAACCCGGGCCGCCAGTAGCAGAGCGCACGCCCTTAACTGCTAAGCCATGGGGCCGGCCCCATACACCGGGTCTTAAAGGATGTCAGGGAGGTGGTGAATCAGATGTTTAGAGGACTGTTGGCTAGACTGGTCTGCCTAAAACGGTAGCTCATTTTAGGAATCAGAGGAAATAGGGCTGAAATGTTATGTCAAAGTGAGATCTGGAAGAACTTTAATGCCTGAATAAAATGTAGACTTTATTGTGAAGGCAACAGTGAGGTGATGGAGGTTTTATGGAGAGAAATAAAGATGAAATAAGGAAGCTGATAAAAAGTGAATTTGTGGGGCCGGTGGTGCAGCGGTTAAGTGCGCACCCTATGCTGTGGCGGCCCAAGGGTTTGCAGGTTCAGATCCTGGGCGTGCATGGATGCACTGCTCGTCGAGCCATGCTGTGGCGGCGTCTCATATAAAGTAGAGGAAGATCGGCATGGATGTTAGCTCAGGCCCAATCTTCCTCAGCAAAAAGAGGAAGATTGGCATCGGATGTTAGCTCAGGGCTGATCTTCCTCAGGAAAAAAAAAAAGTGAATTCATGGCTGAGGCGTGCGATTGAAATGGTAGGAAAACATCCAAATGGAAAGGTCTAACAAGTAAGTAGAGAAGCAGTGCTGCAAGTCAGGAGAGAAGCCAGGGATAGAGAGCGGGTGGAGTGTCTCTAAGAAGTACAAGCTGTAAGATAAAAAAAACAAAAGCTTTTAGTAAAGAGCAAAAGGCCAATGATTAAAGCTGGGAGAAAGGCAATATTTGGAGAGCAAGAGGAGACACTGGTGAACCAGGAGAGTGCAGAGCTTGGGAGCCAAGGGAGATGCCTTTCAGGAAGCCACTGACACATCCAGTAAGTCTGAGGCCAAAGAAAGAAGGGAAACAAGGTAATGGGAAGTTGCAGGCAGTAGGGACAAGCGAAGGTTTGAGATCTTAGGCGTGCAGACCCTAGAGTCAGGCAGACCTGGGCAGTCCTCTGGCTCTACCATTTACTAGCTAGGTGGCCTTTGGCAAGTCAATTATTCCCTCTGACCTTCCTTTTTTCATCTGTACAATGGAGAAAATAATAGTACCTCCCTCAGATAGTGGTTGTAAGAGTTAAATAAAGGATAATTCATAAAAAGTACTTAGGAGATTAAATAGAGATGATGTTTGTAAAGCTCTGAGCACAGCATCCAGCACCCGGCAAAAACTCAGTACGTGCTAAGTATAACTTATGATGTTTAAAGACAGTGTGGGGGAAGAGGGAGAATCCCCCTCTGCCCTTTCCCTTAAGGTTCTTATGGCTGGCCAAATAATTAACAAGACAGGTTAGCAGGAGAAAATAATACCAAGTTTAATAACATGTACACACGGGAGAAACCAGGGACACTGCATTTCTCAACACAATAGCAGAAATTCTCGCCTTAAATACCATGTTCAGCCAATGACCAAGGAGGATGTTGGGGGTGGGGGGAGTCAGCCACAGGAGATTACCACTAAAGCACAGTAAACAGGAGTAAGGTTATTATGCAGATTTAAGGCCTCACCTTCCACATTGATAAGTTTCTAGAAATGAGGTCGTCCCCCCTCTTCCCAATACAGAGAGGGAGATACCTTTACAAATGGAGATTTCCCTTATAAATGTAAATGTTTGTCTGGCAACTCCTCTCAGGGCCATCCAGAGAATGTGGCCAGAGATACAGAACTTCTGATAAGACGGGCTTGTTGGTGCATTTCCTATTGTAACATCTATTTTACATTATATTACAGCCATCAGATAGAAGATCTGTTCCAGGAAGGAGTTACTATGTCAAATTCTTTAGGCAGTTAGTGGGGGAGGTCAAATGTCCGTCAGAGAAAACAATCAAGGTAAAGAGATATATTCCAGGGTGGCCAAATCTTGATCTCCCACAACAGTATGGGACTCAGTGGGGGTGGCAATATTGAAGGAGGGGTGCAGGAGGAAGGAACAGTGGGAGTAACTATGAGGTAAAAGCTGAAGAGTCAGAACAAGGGGAGGGCCTCCCTTTGGAAAGAGGAAGTAATCTCTTCCTCCAACACGGGACTCTGTGTTGTTGCCTTTTTACCTTATGGTGCCTGATTATTGCTGTGTAACTTGAGTACCCAGGACACGTGAATGGACTTGGCCAGACACCTTACTGATCTACTGTGAAATTACCTCTTTGCCCTTGCCCTCTACCTTGGATTTCATCCCAATGTCAAGTCAGACCTTAATTCAGAATGGTATATATTTAAAAGCCCAATGTATGTAACAGATTTATTAACAAAGATTCTCCCATGGCTCCCTCTATTACTGTGAAATTAGTATGCCATGATCACTAGGTAACTTAGAGGATGCTGACACAAGTGCTGTAAAATTTAGCCCATATACCATTTTGCATGTTCACAAAGTACTAATGAAAGTAACTGCCACAGCATGGGAGCATTTTGGGGGGATTTCAAATTTTTAATAGAATAAATTTAAGGTGGCCCAGAGTTCAGGTGTTAATGATAGCAGCCTCCACCCAACTCCCAGGAAGAGGCAAGTCGTTAGGAACATGGGCTTTGAAGCCATGTTCTAATCCCAGCTCTGCTTCTCACTAGCTCTGTGACTTTGCACAAGTTACTTAGGCGCTATGAATCTCAGTGTCAGCATCTACAAAAATAGGACTGATAACACCTACCTTTCAGGGCTGTAAGAATTAAATGAGCTCATATATATGAAGTGCTCAGGACTATGCCTAACACTGCAGATCATCACGTGTCATCACTCTTTCCTAGGCTCTGATTCAAAGCACATCACTTGACTTCCTTGTGTCTCAACGTTTCCAACCTACAAAACTGATGAGATGTAATAATGCATGCAAGTGCTGTGAGAATAAGTACAATTATGTGGGAAACTTTAAAAACAACACACACAGAAAAAAACTTTCCTAACCTTCCACATTAGTGCCTGCTGGAGTGCAGTGAGCTTAAGGCCTGCCCTGGACCACCTGCTAGTACTATCAAAAGTGTGTGACCTGTGATAGACACTTTTCCAAGGTGAGACAACCTTATGTATTTGATATGAAGAAAAGCAAAAGCCAGAGAAAGGAAAGGAATGAAGAGGAAGGAGACAAAGAATAAAGAATGGTTGGGGGGGGCAGACAACCTGAGGAGGGAGTGGTGCTGGTCCAGGAGAGGGGCCCTGTCCCTCCAGCTGGCAGAGAAGGATGAAGGAAACTGCAGGCCCATTTGGGAGTTGGCAGAAGAGGGACTTGAAGGAGTCCCTTCAAGTCCTGAGGGATTTGAAGACAGCTATCCCTACCCCACGACATTTAGACTTTTTTGTGAGTGTGTGGGTCTTCTCACTGGTGACTGCCACCACGACTGTGCTCCACTTGCTCTGTACCCTAGCAGGAGGGCCCTTGTCCATATAGGTTTCTTCCTTCGAACTATCAGATCTAGTCTAAAATAGGACCCCACTATTTCAGGGTGCCAACCAGCCATCTCTCCTGATAAAGAGCCTTTCATCATATTTAGTAATTTCTGTAGTGAACTATATTGTTTCAAGGCAGCACAGTAATCCCAGTCAAAGTGAGTTATGTTTCTTTGTTTCTTGATGTCAGAGGGGGCATTTGCTCACAGAAAAGATTATTTTTTTTTTTATAGTTTTTCCTGTTTAAAATAAAATGCTTGGGTTAAAGAAAAAAGTGTGTGACAACTGCTCTATTTCTGCCTCAGGAATTGATCCGAAGGGGACCCAGGGCCCAGAGCTGCCAGATAGGAAGGTAGACTAACTCTCTAGGGCTGGAATAGCTAGCTAACGATAAATAAATGGCAAGCAATAAGATATATTGGAGCACATGAGGAAGCCATTTGGGGTAAAACTAATTCCGCCTGAGTTTGTTTTTCCAAAAGGGCCTGTCGCCTGCATTGTGTATCTGCTTTGCCACGTCCCAAAGAAAAGAGTAAATGCCCTTAAGGATGCAACTTCCCCCACATTGGCATTTCCTTAAGGACAAGCATTTCTCCCTAGGCTAGGATTTGATTGCTGCACTCATTCTGTGACCACCCAGCTCGAGACAACAGACCTGACACCAGCCAGGCCCAGCGAGACAGCAGACCTGCTCCCCGCTGTGTTTATCAATAGCTATTCTGGCAGGGCAATCTGACAGGACAACCTTGTGGCTATTGTAAAAGGGACATTGCAATCCTATGTGATACATGCTCTTTGATGGTATATAACCGCTCTGTACACCCCACTTCTTCGGTGCCCTTCCTTCCTTAGGGAAGGAAGGCCCTGGGCCATGGTCCTCAAAAGTTGGTTCATAATAAACTCACCCTAATTTTGATTTATAGATTGATTATGGATTATTTATGCCTGAAACGCTCGGAAAGGTTCAAATCCCAGACTCGGTGGTAGGTCTGAATGAGCAGTGCCAAGGATCTCCTTGGAGCAAAATGTTCACCCACAGACAAGGGTCCTGCTTACACTCTCTGCTCAGCCTTCCTTCAGTTGGCCTGGCCCAAGACACAGTTCCGGGCTAAACCAGCCCTACGGATGGGCTTACTGCCGCCTCCTGACTGCAGCCCTCGTGCAGTTAGGTCCTTCCTTCTCCCATCAGACCCCTTCACCAGCCCCTTCATCCCCCTCTTTGGGCAAGTTCTGCCCACCGTGTTTGTAGAAAGGGTGAACAAGCAGGAGACACTGGGAAAGACTACCACTGAACTTCGGCAGGCGGCAGAGCCAGGGGAGACCCGGAAGGGGAGGGGGGAGGTCAGAGCACAGGCGGTCGCAGGGCTGGACGTGACCTTGTGCAGCCAGCGCCGGCGTTGGTCCCGTCTGCGTCCCCACCCCAGTGGCCTTCTCAATTCCCGCCCCGCGGGCAGCTGGGCGCAGAAGCAGTTTTCCATACAGTAAGAGTTAAATCAGTTTTTCCGGGCTCTCCATGTACCCTCCTTACCTTCGTAACCAAAAAATCTTCTTACAAACCTAAGGCGGCACACGAAAAGGCCAGCGAACGGCCTGGAGCGCAGCCGCTGGGGAGTCACTTCCTGGTGCGCAGGGCGCCTCCACTCCCGACGCGCACGCAGCCAGCCCGGGGCAGGCGCCGCGGGACCCGGGGGTCCCTCCTAAGTCCGCCGGCCGAGGCAGCACGTCTCGGAGAGTCCCCCTCCCTACTTTGCCGGGGGCTCTTCTCTGGAGACCTTCCTCAAAAGCACTCCTCGCCCTATTGCCCACCGTCTTTCCTCTCCACTCTCTGCTCTCCTCCTCTCCCCGCGACCCCGCCCACTGCCTGCTCTTTTCACCGTCCCATTGGTGGATCTGGATAAGCTTCGAAAATCACAAAGAAATTCTCACTGTAGTGCTACCCATCTCAGGGGTGCTTGAAGTTTAACCCTTTAAACCAAAAGAATGGTTTTCTCATGATAGAATTGCAGGCATCAAAGCCATAACGGGTTGGAAGATTGGGAGATGAAGGGCAGGGTCATTTCCTCAAGTCACAATCTTTTGTCAAAGTCAGCCCTATTCTGGGCCATAGGGTATTTCAGGCATTCTTTCTCCCTCTATTTTATATTGCATCAGAAAAATATTATGTTATTATGACAAGGTAAACCTGGTTTCTTAAGTGGATCCCACGCAAGGCTACTAAATCCTAAAACTTCAGGGAAAGAACTGTTTTTCTTGAACTACAGAACTCAGAAGGAGGCCAGATACCACTAGTTCATTTACCAGCTCCTGGACTACATTCAATGATTCCTCTAATTTTTAGAGCCAAATGAGTAAGGGAATGTTGAAGGATGCACACACGTGTGTACTGTTAAAAAAAAATTGTTTCTTTAATAGCATAAAATTTACAGCAAAGTGAATCTACATTTAATGACACAATTTTTATGCTTAATAGTAATTGGGCTTAAATGGAAAGCATTTTATAGTCAATATTTCACTTATTTATTTATTCAGAGCATAACATGCCTATTATGTGCAAGGCAATGCATTAGCCTGTCGGGGGAAGAGAGGGAATCTCCCTCTGCCCTTTTCCTTAAGGTTCTTATGGCTGGCCAAATAATTAACAAGACAGGTTAGCAGGAGAAAATAATACCAAGTTTAATAACATGTATACATGGGAGAAAGCAGGGACACTGCGTTTCTAAACACAATAGCAGAAATTCTCGTCTTAAATACCATGTTCAACCAAAGACAAGGAGGATGTTGGGGGTGGGGGTGTTAGTTACAGGAGATTATCACTAAAGCACTGTAAACAAGAGTAAGGTTTATTATGCAGTTTTAAGGCCTCACCTTCCACATTGATAAGTCTCTAGACATGAGGTCATCCCCCCTCTTCCCAATACAGAGAGGGAGATACCTTTACAAATGGAGACTTCCCTTGTAAATGATTGTCTGGCAACTCCTCTCAGGGCCATCCAGAGAATGTGGCCAGAGAGACAGAACTTCCGATAAGATGGGCTTGTTGGTGCCTTTTCTATTGTAACTTCTATCCTACATTATCTTTATAGCAGTCATGATAATAACTCCTTCCTGAAACAGATCTTTTGTTTTAAATTCTTTAGGAAGTTTGGGAGGGGAAACTCAAATATTCTTCCGGAGTTCTCTGAGTCCTTATTGTCTTCAGCTCGAAATAATCCGCATACCAGAGTGGTGCTTCCTGGGCTAGCTTGCCCTGAGCACCATCAAGCCCTGGTGAGTACAGCAGTAAATTAAACATGACCCAGTACCTCAAATAACAGCAAACACTGAGTCAGCCAGACCAACATTCAAAGCCCAGATCTGCCATTTATAAGTTGTATGAACTTGGGTAAGTTACTTATATGGGAGATCAAGATTTGGCCGCCTTGAAATATGTCTCTTTACCTTGATTATTTTCTCTGACGGACATTTGACCTCCCCCAAACTGCCTAAAGAATTTAACATAAAAGATCTGTTCCAGGAAGGAGTTACTGTCATCTGATGGCTGTAATATAATGTAAAATAGATGTTACAATAGGAAAGGCACCAAAAATTCTGTTTCTTCCTGGCCACATTCTCTAGGTGGCCCTGCTAGGAGTTGCCAGACAAACATTTACATTTATAAGGGAAATCTCCATTTGTAAAGGTATCTCCCTCTCTGTACTGGGAAGAGGGAGGATGACCTCATCTCTAAAAACTTATCACTGTGAAAAGTGAGGCCTTAAATCTTCACAATAACCTTACTCTTGTTTACTGTGCTTTTCTGGTAATCTCCATAACTGACTCACCCCACCCCCAACATCCTCTTTTGTCTTTGACTGAAGATGGTATTTAAGACGAGAATCTCTGCCATTGTGTTGAGAAACTCAGTTTCCCTGGTTTCTCCCATGTATACATATTACTAAACTTGGTATTATTTTCTCCTGCTAACCTGTCTTTTAATTATTTGGCCAGCCAGAAGAACTTTAAGGGAAAGGGCAGAAGGGGATTCTTCCTCTTCCTCGACACTTACTTGCTCAGTGCCTCAGTTTCCTCATCTGAAAAAAATGTCCATAATAATTGCACCTACCTCATAGGGTTGTGATAAAGATTAAATAAGCTAATACATGCAAAGTGCTCAGAACAGAATAAGCACACACTCAATAAATATTAGCTATTATCACTCAAAAATAATTTTATATACTGTGTGTGTACACCCACATACACACACACCTTTTTTTAAAAAACAAAAAAAGATATGTTACTTCCCATTCTAAAGACTTGAGCAAGTAAATGCTTGACTCAAATGGTGGCCTTCCT